ACAAATGCCACAAACACACACAGCATATGGAGGTTGCTCTATCACTGAGCTATTCTCCCAACAGAATATGCACTTTAATTTCAGTAAGAGTTTGCTCAATGTAGTCAATTATGGATAAACTGGCACATCATCTTTCTCCTGTTTCATGACAGGTACAGCAGCTATTTTTACCTCTGCATAAAAGCAGAGACTGTTTTCACACTCAGCCAACTGGAACTGCGCCTTTCATTAAGGAAATCTATTTAGAGCCGAGCGGGGGGAGAGGCAGATCAAGAGGGAAAGATGAGCTCTGATTGCATCTTTCAATGAAAATGTTTTAGGCGCTGTCTGTTATTTCATCACTGCACAGCCCAGACGCTTGGGATGGCACGAGGCGCAGTTTGCTGTCTGTAACTACTTATATGATCCTAAATCAAAGATGACAAAGCTCATTATCAACACAAACTGTTTGTAGCTGAGTCAGCTCAGAGACTCAGCTGGTGTCAATCACAACTGTAGTGTTACAGCTGATGAACTGTGACCCCACCATCTGTGATGTGTCAGTGGCAGTTACACTGATAATCACTTTGGTATAGCAACATTAATACAAAGAAAAGAGAAACTTCTTTGTATTAAAGACCAACATGCACAGTATAAAGTAAGGAAGTAAAAAGTGTCTAAGTAAAATTTCCCTCTCTATTAGATGGTCTCTTCTCAGATTTCTTGAAATTCTAACCTTTAGAGTGAGTGGCTTTCTTTCCATCTCCCTCACCTGAGTGTCTGAACCAGTGCACGGTAAGAGGCGTCCACACCTACTGTACTAACCTAATAGCTGCACTTCATCTCTACTGCTGGTATGATCGATAACTGCAATGACAACGGTTATGATCTCATAACATGTTTTGATCTTTTCAATTTTATTGCCCCATTTTGAACTTTTTCAACATGAAAAATACAGACACACATTTCACACAAAATACTCAATACCACTGCAGCAAACAACAGAGAGGATAAAAGGGGAGTCATATCCAGAACTGTCTAAAACAGCCCTAAAAAGCCAACTCACAGCAGCAACACTGGTGGAAAGAGAAGGGAAACAGTTGGGGACTTAAACCTCCTTTTGTTCGTAATGCAGATAAAACTGACAGCGTGTGCCGAGAAGCGCAGCTGAGGGTTCCCAGTTGGCTGATCCATTAAGTTCCTCTTACTTGGGCTGTGGACCATTCATTTGAAGTGTACTTAAAATTAAAAAAAAAAAAAAAAAGTGACATCAAGCGACAAATTGCACCTGCAGCCAACGTCCTAAGGAGAATGTGTGCCATGTCTGGCTGAGATGACAGGAGCACGTTGTCCAGGACTGAGGCGACACCAGCTGCACTATGCACGGGATGACAAAGTGAGATGGCACTGCCAGACATGCTGTTAATAATGACTTTCCTTTTCTATTAGCCAAAGCCACTGAATGTCTAACTAACAAGCTCATTAAAATGCACAACAGACGCTCTGGGAAACATGAGTCCCACTGAGGACAGGTGACTTCCCACCACTGAATTTCTGTTTGCTTTAATTAATGACATTAGCTGGGTGTATTGTAACACCAAACCTCATTGTTATTACTTTAAATAAGAAGTGATGGGATGATGAATCATGGATAACATGGCTCAACAACACTCTGAAGAAACCTAAAAAAACTTTAACCTGTGTGGATTCAGTGAGGAGTTTTGGGATCAAAACTCACATTCAAAGGCTTTTCTATGCCACCGAGCAAAAAACGGAAGGGGAAACATTCTCATGGATGTTATGCAGCAATGTGAAAGTGTTTAATTACTAAGCTCCTGTGGGTGCGTGCCAGGAGTGTCTCAGCATCCCACTGGGAGCAGGCTGTCAGGACAAAGGCAACTGCGGAACCACATTTGGACACAAAGCTAAGAATCTAAGAACTGTTGTCGTTTACTGATGGTTTTATTGCTTCTATCCCAACAAGAGACACTCATTTCTGAGTTTTTATGTTTCTATGGGACAGGAAACTGTTTGTACCACAGATATACAGTCAATAGTTTGCATGCATCCTGTCTCTACAAGTGCTTTATCAGCTTTGACTGAGCCAGGTTTCCAGTCTGTGAACCAGGGGGACTTCCAGTCGCAGGCTTTACAAGCTCAGGGATATTCCCAGTCCTCTTGAATAACAACTTTGTGTATCTGTGCTCTAGGTGTAGCCCTTCACAGTCATTCTCTAAGGCAGCTTAAAGACAGAGAAGCCATATAGATGCCACTTTCTAGCTGTGAACAAGTGAAGCAAAATAATGAGGTGAAAGACAAAGGATTCTTGTAAAATGCTTCTTAACTCCCCCAGTCACAGCACAAGGAAATCCATCTGATGTGCATTCCCAGAGAGTACAGAACAAACTGATTCATGTTGGAGTGCGATCTAAACATGCTTATTCTGGTTCAGCCGGTAAATCCTGAATGTAAAACTTGGTCTATCCTCAAATCCCCAGAAATCTCTTTATAAATCAAGTGTGTAAATCTGTCAGCACAGAACGGACACTCTAAAGCAGACCCCGTTTCTTCTTTTGAATTATGCTGTGTGTAATCAGATTGCAATGACTGCAGTCTTCCCAGAGAGGTGTGTGTGTGTCTAAAGGACAAAAAAAAGCTGGAAAAATTTGATTATGAGGGAGAGAGAGGCCAGAGTAGATGCCCCATTAGACATCGCCTCCGTCTGTGTTCAATCCTCATGTTTGTTTCGGGCGAATGGGGAACGTTAATCAAAGCATTGTGATGTTTGCTCTCTTACTTCCTGCCCACAGAGCAGGAAAGCACTTATACAGCAACAAAATCCTCTCCGGGGACAGGAGAGAGGAGCGAAGGGGAGAGCGAACAGAGCGGTGTAGCACTTTAATTCCCTTCCCCGGTGGTCCGAAACCCAGAAATTGATAGCTGTATGTAGGAAGTTCACATGGATGCCTGCAAAAATGATATGATGGGGAAGGTTCTGTACACAGCTCAACCTGCTCTGAAGAAGCTGGAGGAAAGCATAGTCCAAAAAAAGGATGAGGATGATCTTCTCTGCTGCGTAAACATCCCTGATGGCACGGACAGACGAGAATGAGCTTGGTATGTGACAAGGCAGGGATGCCAAAAACTGATTAACACAAGAGATGAATCATTGTCTTCATCTCTGGACAGCTTGTTTTGCCAGTACCAACACTCAATGGAACATTCAAACTCTAGCTCAAAAGAGAAAGTTTCAGCCACTAGCTAGAAGGTCAAACTGTGGCTCATTCAGAAGGATACAGACTGGGGTTGGCTATTTTTAGATTTGATAAGGTTGGCGAATACACTCAGCTCCATATAACAAAAGAGTTCCATGCGCTTTATAGTTGCATTAGCCACGTATTCGTCTGGACCTTGCTCTGTGTTTTCAAGCAGTATTTCCATTTTGTCCCTTATGCAGTGACACTGGTTTCCACACTACCAGACAGATCCTTCTCTTCCTGGACCTCAGCAGCCCACAATTTCTTTTCTTTAGTCGCTTTCCAGAAAGTCTCTGAGGTCAGCCCCTTGACAAATGGAGCAACTCATTGTGAGGAGGAAGGAGAATAAAAGAGAGAAAGGACATTTGTTGCCGCCAGACCGAGCAGCAACCCCACCACTTGGACAAAACCGCCTTTTTTTAGGCGACTTGAGAAAAACTCAAAGGCATGCTGCATGCATAAAGACTGCAGATTGAGAGGCCCATTTAATGCCTGTCCATAGAATACGCTCCATCACTAACACACACACACACACACACACACACCACAGATAGCCTTTCCCGTAATCCCAGCGGGCCGCAGTCTCCCTCTGTAAAAGTGGGCCTGACACGAGCCTCTGACTCAACCCTAAACATCTCAGCTGACCCCAGCATACAAACGCACACACACAATGCTCCTCTTGGGAGAAAGTAAGGGGCCTCAGGGTGGGCAGGTGCTGTGACAGCCTCACAGAGCGGTGGCTGTGTGAGCATAAGTGTGTGGGGGCTGCCTGCCGTCTGTCAGTCCAACCTGCTGCTTGCGTCATCAGCCAATCTGAGTTTCTCTTCTCTTGGGGTTTTTTGGCTGTATTGTGTGTGTGTGTGTGTGTGTGTGTGTGTGTGAGTGTGTGCCTGTATGTGCTTCTTACAAGCTCAGTCTGACTCACAGATCAATGCATCCAGGATTATGTATCACTCTAATAGCATTATTGGGGTCAGTGTCAGCAGATGACACACATGCAGCCCCAGTGTGCTCCCACTCCCCTGATGCTCTGGTCTCTGCAGGAGTTTGCATCGACAAAGCCGCGGCCTGCTTACACGTTATGCAGTGATTCTTACCCAGCAGGCAAGGAAGGGATTTAAAGCTGCACCAGGAAAGATTCTGATCTAAAAATAAATGTGTCCAATCAGCCTAAATCACAAACTAAATCACCAGCTGAGACCCAGTGGATTCATCTTATTTATTAATGTTTGAAAAATAGCTCTATTCACCAGAATGACATTTGTTAGGAATTTTAAAACAGCACAGTTCAGCAGAGCTGACAAAAGTGAGTGAGCTGTGTGACGCTAACCAACATCATGATACATCATTTCTGGGTACTTAAGTTAATACTCAGTGCCAATGTGCAAAATTCCCTGGCCACTTTTATTAGTGATGAAGCCAGTGTTACAGTATAGATACAAGGTCATGATACAAGGGTAAAGTTTGTGGAAAAAGAAATTTAAATCCCACCTTTAAATGTAATTTACTGGCACTTAATATTGACCTTTATCACATTAAAAAGTGACCTATGTTACAGTTTCCACTAATGCATCTCAGCTCTTCTAAAGTCTTCCCTGTGTTTCGTGACCTTTAGACTGCAGTGTCTCATCTGTGAAACATCTTAGTCAGAGGTCGCCCATAGTTCACACACAGATGAACACCCTCAAAGACAGCACTGCTCCAGGATTAGTGAAACACTCAAATAAAGGGAGATTCGAGCCAGTGTAGCTTAGCAGTACGTACCTTGTCAAAGAGAGACTTCCACTGCTGAGATATGCAAAGAGAGAAGAAAGCAAGAGAAGCAGTGAGTGAGAGGAAGAGAGGAGCACCTGTTTAGAAATGATCACTGTTGGGCAACAGGACATTCCTCTTTGTGTACATCTGCCATAATTGCAATACTACAATCACATGCCATTATTAACTTTATTATTTTGGTCAATGAGCCACAGCAAAAGATAATAAGGTACCACAGTGCAGATCATTATCTGTGAAGGTTTTCTTAAAGTAGATTATGTGAAAAGCTGAAAAGAATAATGGAAGGAGACTGGCATGTGCATGTGTGAGTGTGTTCGTGTTATCTCCCATTAAAAAACACAATAAGATTCCTTGAAAGGATGTGTGTGTATCACTTCCCTGCAAGGCTGCAAAACTTTTCATTATTTTAAATCTCCTCTGATATCAATTTAAGCTCCAACTGTCTTACGGAATTTACATAATTAATCCTTTAATTTTACACTCAGTTCATAAAACATTCTGCTACATAAAATCAAACGCACTGTGTGACTTAGCTCCAGTGCCAAACAAAAGAGAAGGTCTGCTTAATGTAAAAATGTGAAAAATCATAGTTGTTATATGTGTACTTGAGGTCCCCCTCCCCCTGAAATGTGTGTGTAGACTTACGTCCTCAGGAGCCACGGGAAGGACCTCAGTACTTTCCAAAACCTCGATCTCTTCGCCCTCCGCGTTGGCCGCGACCGCCGGAGATGAGTTCACCAGCGCCTCTCGGGTCCTGCCTGTCATATTCGTGCTGCTCTTCTCCATACACCCTCAGAGAGCAGCGACTCAGTCCTCAGGGATGGCTCCACATACTGTGGTTTACAATCCCATCTCGTTCCCAACATGCGTCAGCAACGACAGAAGGTCAGAAAGCTGAGCATCCTGCTCGTCTGCGCACCTTTTTCAACTCGGACCTTTCTTGGATTTAGTGAAATTGGTCCAGGTGCAATGACAGACACTCGTAAATTAAAGATGTGTGCGTACTTGAGTTATTGCTAGATCGGTAGAACAAATCCTCATCCACAGAGAAAAAGTTCGTGTGGTAATAGTTAAGTAATATTTATGGGTTATAAAGTTCCTCTGCGGTGTCACAGCAGCGTGCACCACATCGTTAGTCAGCAGTGACAGGGGTTTGCAGAGCTAGAGAAGAGCCCAAAATGTGCTCGCCACAAACAGAGACAAGGGGGGAGAACAGAGTGTGTCTCTTCACTTTGACATATGCGACGCAGCAGCAGCGGAGCGCAGATCCATCTGAAAGAAACAATGACATCATCAAACTCTGACAACAACATGAATCGAGATGACAGACCGGTCTGGATGACGCACAAGTCTCCTGTGGCTGATCCATCAAGGGGAGCCGGTTAAAGTCGACTTAAACAGCGTGGGTACGGTCACATGGCAGGCTTACAGGGAAAAGTCCAGGAAAGTGCCCATATTTTTGGTGCGTCATGATACCTGGCACGCTGTTTCCTGCCCGTCGGCGGCGCAGCGCGCAGACGGCTGTCTGTCTCCTCAGTCGATGCTGCTTCAGCCGCATGCGTCCCTCCAGGAACAGAGAGAAAGAGAGAGGGTGGGGGCGGAGAGCTAGAGAGAGAGAGAGCGGGGGGAGGCAGTGAGAGATCTGGCTGACGGTGAAGAGGAATCATCAGCTACCGGAGTTTCTAGGAACTCCGAGTCACTGCCTGAACAGCTGGGTGTCATTCTGTCAGGGCTTAGAGGTCGTGGGTCGTTTGGTCAGGCACGATTATTATTATTACACCAAGCAAAGGGGAAATGAAGCAGTAACGGCAGATTTATCCTTTGTTTTGTAATAATGATCACTTTTTAAAACAATTCATCAAATATGCACTTGTAAATATGAATATGTTACAAATGTATGAAAGGACTTTGACCTTTTCCAAATGATAAGTGGTTTCATGGTGCATTGAATGAAAAAGGAGGAAAAACGACCTAAAGGATTTGTCAGGGAACGACAACTCCAACCTTGTTCTTATTAATGTCTTATAAATTAACTTTATGTATCTGTAAAGTTGTAATATATGATTTAGGAGCAATTAACAAATCCCGTATAAAGGGTTCCCCAAGGAACTAGTACCCTAAATCAATAATATAACAATATTTTACTATTTGTGTTGTTCACATTCAAACTTAACAATTAATGACAAATGTCCAACTACTCTTCAGTGTTTAGGCTTCAATGTACTGCCTGTTAATATAGATCTGTATTTTATTTGTGTATATTAATGCATTTTTTGCAATCAAATGACTAAGGTGTGAGTTTATAATGTGAAAATCAGTAAATATAAATTGTGTTATGAAAAGATTTAGGTGTATATTATTAAAACTGTGTGTCTGGATTAGAATATTTCAGGTTCCATTAAAGTCAGTCATAGTTTACAGATGCAGCAAAAAACACATGGATCTTTTTGAGAGTTGTACAACTGCTGTATTGCATCAGTTTTTTCCATGTAGCTTCATGAAGCCACACATATAACAACTCTGTTGGAGATGTATGACTCCAATCAATCCTAACACCATTTTCCACTGTGCAACTATTTTCCAGTTATGGATCAATACTTAACAAGTGTCATACAAATGGGATGAACACCTCTATTCCTCCTGTATAGCATAAATGTAAGTTTTAATACAATATGGACATAATTAGTCATGCTTTAGTCACAGTTCCTCGTGTTTTACCGCCGTTCACACACAATAGTTCCAAACATTACATACTGTACTCAATATTCTTCAGGGGTCTGTTCTCATTAGGTTTCATACACATTTAATGCAGTCTCATCTCATGTTATAAATACCAATGCCTCACACAAACAGTATGAATATATTCCTGAAATGCTTGCTGTAAAAGCTCAGGATGTTTTTAGGGGATATTGAGCTCTTTCTTCCAGGTCTGCTGCTACAATCACCCAAATAATGGGGCCCCATTTTAGACAAACACCTACTTATTACCTCAGGAAACATCAAACAAACCTAATAGTTGGGTGGATGTCATGTCACAAAATGGAACTACGTGTTGGTGGTGCAGAATGCAGTGTAGACTGATTAGTGTCTCTCTAGTGAAACTCTCTCAGGCGCAGCACATGATTGCCAGGTTAGGTGATGTTAGGTGATATTTTTAACCCTCAGGGTCATTTACCGACCCCTACCTAGCAGTTAAAGTTGGAATTTGTTATATTGTTTAAAAAAAAAAAAAGACACAGTCTGCACTGTGTATTCTGTGTTTTCATGCACTGTATGGGAAACACGTTTTGTGGTAAGTCTGGCATTCATAATTGTGCAAATACTAACAGTCTTAAAATAATACAGTGTTACTTTTCACATACCGACAATCTTCACATACCTGACATAAAGAACACGCTTATTCTGTGCAGAAAGCCACATTCAGTACTTCAAGGCATAAAGCAGTTTAATGCACATCTCATGAATGAACTCATAACTTCACCTAAAACTGCTTTATTTTGATGTTCACAATTAACAAGTGGCTACAGCTGCAAAATGTAATCAGTGACTGGCTATGTAAAATAACAGTATCAATTCATAAATCAACCTTGTCACAATCTCCCCAGATCAACATTCATATCACTGAGGAGTTAGGGAAATTTTATCTCGTGGGTATTTCCATTAGAAGCAGGCAACTGGACAAAATGAGACAAGTTACGCCAGCTGAAGAGCAATAACACGACTTGGAATAGTGAGGAAGTGTGAAGAAAAAGGCAAAAGAAAACACCTGCTATGTGGTAAAATGTAGCACATGTATAAATTCACAGCTGGGGTGTGTTTTTTCTTTTGGCAGGAGTCTATATTTTATTTGTCTGTGGTGGTTTCCAGCCTTCTCTGACTGACTGTCCCTTAAAGACTAGTTCACCAACTGTCACTTGCCAAATGTGTTCGTTTGAACCGATTGTAAACCAGACAGTTCACAGCGTTACGTTTTCATACATTTAAACAGTGTTTAAAGTAGGTTTGGCCAAGTTTTAATTCAGGCTATGTAGGCTAATGGTTAACCATTTATCCATTACCTGTTTCAATCATTTAACGTTATCCATTAATGCTTTTTTAACCTTTATTACTTTTACAAAACTATTTGTCCACATCTTTTAACTACTTTATTTCCACCCTTCATCTACCATTTTAAACATTTTAATTTAGTTAAATATTGTTGTAGCTAACCATTTCAACCAATCACCCGTTGCTTTTTGAATTGCTTAGTCATTATTTTTAGGCAGCTAACTATTTCAAAAGTTTATCTTCTACTTTAAGCTAGCTGTTTTAACCATTTACTTTTTATCCATCACTTTTAGACATCTGTTGGAAATGTTTATCACTTTTACTGTGTATTTTTTGGTCTTAGCTACCTATTTGAGCAGTTTATTTGTTTTAGGCAACTCAACTTCTTTATGTGCTTGGTAACTTTTCAGAAGCAAATGGTGGCATTAGGAAAATAAACAATATAAAAAGGATCATGATTTATAATTTAAGCCACAGATGTCTGATATTCCTCCAAGTGCTTCCTAATCCATCTTGTCCTATAAACTAAAAGGGCTAATTGTGTACCTATCTAAACACTTTACCAGCTTTAGTTCAATTTCAAACTGTATTTTAAAACATACATTACAAGAAAAAAAACACTTTAGTAAAATTTTGAGGGGGGAGGGAGTTTTTTTTTTTTTATAAAATGCTGCCCTCTTGTGTCTGAATAAACCTGTGCTCATATCATTACATACTTGGTCGATACACTCTAAATCACATAAAAATGCTTAATAACTGATGTTAACAAATACCTTGAACTTACTAATTAAATCAAAAATACAGTCTATCATGTTACATTACATGTAATGCACAACTCTCCATTGCCTCCGAGTCCTCTGTAGGAACTTGTGTTCATAAATACACAAACTTCCTAATGTACTCACTGGAAAACAAGTAATGGTAAAATCACCATCACACCAGATGTAACAGACATATTCATTTATTGCAAACTGTTGAAAAAGCAGAGCTGAGTGAATACATCAAGTTGAACCAAGCAGTTGTAACAGGATGGAAATAAACATCTGGGGTGGCATTATTGCATCTTCTTTGACCGAGAGCGCTGATAGGGAATCACAGCAAGGGTCATAATTCACTATGACTCAAGATTCAGCTACCATCTGTTCACCACTCCTGTCAGTGAACTTACTACAACCCGGGATTACTGGGAGCAGTCAAGCGATGCGGCGAAGCTGATGCAGTACTTTATTGTACAGCGAGTCTTAAAACACTGGAATGAGATTGTGACGCATGCAAACCAAATGTACACATAGCTGTAGGGTGTAATTTTCAATATAATACCTGACATGAGAAGACATTCTTCTGCACATTCACATCCACTGCTCCAACACAGACCTGCTCAGATGTACAAACATTAAAAAAAAAATGAATCTGAGTGCTCGGCCATGAAAGAAAAAGCCATGTTCTGTCAGTGTTAGCAATCAATGCTAATGTCTGTGTGTGTTCATGACCTAGCTATTAAAGTAATACTTTTGCATTCAGTCTTTTGAGGGTGAATCAATCATGAGTCTTTTGGAAATAAGACACAAATATATTGTTTGCTGTATTATTTACATTACGTTCTGTCTAATAAAAGCATCATTTCCATTGCATATCACAGTCCCTGTTAGAGAAACACCAGGTTTTCATCATTACAATTTGCAAGCAACCAAAAAATAGCTATATATGTAACTCACTCATATCGAACTCACTACAGCTCATCAGCAGCTTCCGCTCATTCTTATATAAATATATTACTTTACTTTGCAAATACTTGCAGACATACGGTTTAAGCAAATTAGCAATTTTGGTACAAAAATTAATATTTTTCTCATTTTATCCCCAAAAAGAGAAATACACAAGTGGGATGAAAATGTGAAAAAGAATGAACTTAGGTAGGTGTACACAGACCCCCCCCTCCCCCCAAACCAGATAACAAAATACATTTTTTTCAATTAAATCATACATACATGAGAGACTTTCCATATGGGAAAGCCCAGTGTTGGGACTGGTCAAAGCACATGTATAAGTGAGAGGGTGTGTATGCGGATCACCGTGGTTTGAGCAGAACTCGGTACATGGCGAAGCCCAGCACTGCGAAGACTGTGGCCCCGACGCTCACTCTGAGCCAGAAGGTCGAGCTCTTCAGGTCTGCTTGGCTTATGTGTCTGTTAACCAGAGAAGGTCAAGAGAGATAAACAGAGACAGTGTGAAAGGAAGGACAGTAAATGGTAAAGATGAAAACAGAGATGACAGAGAAAAGGATATAAAAACCCAGTTAGAGTAAGATAGAGCTGTTCTACTTCACAGATCTGGGTCAAGGTTGACTGATTCACATCTCAGCACAATCTAATGCATCATCTTAACTGAACTGACAAAATTAAAAATAATTTCTCTTAACCAATATCTGTCAAGTTGGAAGGAAAAGCAATGAATGGATGTTCGGGTAGTGAGAGGTGTTTCTTAGAAGCATCATGTGAAAGAACACAGAACACAAAAAAATACGGAAGAGCTGGTGACAGAATGGGATTAAAGTCTCAAAATATGGGGGTTGTGAAATGACAAATGGCCAAGGCAGCATGCAGGATTGTAGTTATGACATGAGCCAGCAAGACCAGAAATGAGCTACGACATCTCTGCTAGCTGAGACGGCTGAGGAACAGAGACACGAGCGAAGAAAACAACGGGGAAGCTGACTGAATGTCAGCGAGACTGAAATCAAACATGACTTACAATCGTTACATGGGGAGCCTGCAAACAATGTCAAGATTAAAAAATGTATTTAAAAAAAAAGAACAAAGGAAGCAGGAAGAAAAGAAAGATGGCAAGAGGGATTGTTGGAGTTAACAGACAAAACCCAAGGACTGTGAACACATGAAACAAAAAGGAGAAAAGGTACCAGGAAAATGATGCTACAGAAAGAAGCTAGAAGCTAAAAAGACACATTTCAACACTGAAATGCAAAATTTAAACCAGAGTGAGAGTAAGAACAAATCAGAGAACACTGAAAACATTTAGTCACTATTTATCGATTTTGGCATTACTATCTGCAGCAACACTACAAACTCATGTTACTCTTACTGATCTAAAGTCATCAACATTGTTCCAATGTCTAGTATAATATCTGCTGGCAAGAGCAATTCCACTTCCTGTGCCAAGGCACTGCTCCAATGCTTTAAAGTAAAACTTAACAATGAATGGCAGATTGGAAGACAAGTGACGGACGAGATGACATGAGGTGGTGATGGTAAAGAGAAGTCTTAAGAGGTGAAGAGGACCTTCTGAGTACGACAGCGTAGAGTTTGGCCCTGACCGTCTGCAGCAGCTCAGAGTTGAGGAAGTTCTGACACAAGCAGAAGGTGCACCGGTTACAGGTGCACATGCAGCGCAGCCGTGCGTGGCTGAGGAGAGATATGGAGAAAACACACACACACACACAAAAGAAACACAAACCAACATAAAGTGGGATTTAAAAACACACAGCAGCAAACGGGACACACAGAGAGAGAAAAGTTAGAGATCAAAGATGCTGCCTCCAGTGTGGCTGGTCACATGAGGGCCAGGTTTGAAATGTTTCTCCTGCCAAATGCAGTATATCAGGATATACTGACGAATTACTGCGATGTTATTTCACCATGACACCACAGGAGAACAAAAACAAGTTCAAGTAGATGAGAAAGTATGTTTTCTGTAATGTGGAAGAACCCGCCCTGGAAGAACTATTACGCTGTGTGGACCCTGGAAAAACAGGAAACCAAAGAAACTAATCAGAATTTATGTACCCCACTAAAGGCTGAAACAAAAAATTATTTATGAACTGATATGTGTAACTAAACATGTCCTGAGTATGTAGTTGACTGGGCTCTAGAAGAAAGTCTGCCCTTCATTTTCACTCAGAAATGTAGTTCAGATGAAGATTTACAAAACTGCTTGTCCAGTGCAATTTTCCACAGACCAAAGGGGGAAGTCTGAACAAAGCTATGCCAAGTTCAAATATCTTCCAGCTTCTGACTACAGCTACTCAGGCACAGAAACTGACCATCATATATCAAACACCATACTTACTTATTAGCTGGTAGGTTTATCAAGAGAAAAGGTTCCAATGACAACTTTTTAAATGCTATGCTACAGACATTAAAAACCAGGAAGTTGGGCATCATGTGTGGAAACAGATAAGAAGTAGTGTAACATGGTAAACAAGGATACATTGCCAACAAGTCCTATCATTTGAATGCCACTGTTACCAGGTCAATAATTTGAGACTTCTATTCTACAGAGTTATAGAACTATAGTTTGCAGTCATTAAGAAACAATGTTCATGCAAGTGAACCAGCACCGTAAGAATGATGACCCAAATGCACATTACTCGCATCAGTAGTTCTGAAGTGTACGTACGGGTACATGGCCATAGTGGTAAGCTTGGTGTAGATGTCTCTGCTGGGTGCTGTCGCTGTGTTACAGGTGAAGGGCTGCGGGGGCAGCATCCTGTGTATCCTGCAGAACTCCAGAGGACTGCACCTGTACATCTGTTTGATTTCTGGCAGGTCTGACTTTGCTGCTATCATCATACATGGTATCTTGCTGTCCATGAAGTATTGCTGAGGGAGGAAGAGAGATGAGATATTAACTGGGCAAAACATTTGCCTTTCGATAAACAGTAATATGAGACAACACACAAACACTTTTACCTTGAAAATTTTGGCGCAGTATTCAAAGGAGTAAGGGTTGCTGACATCATAGAGCAGGCAGACGATGTCACAGGCCATATCATCATCAGACAAGTAGTCGAAATCGGGGAACACTTCATGAAGCTGGAGGAGAGTTGAGGATTCATTAACAAAGCTCAACACAAATGGCCAAAAAAATGGAGAAAAGACCATCAAACACAAAATGCTAAGACAGGCCAAGAGTTAGCGGCCTGGTTTACTACAGCCAGTAGCATCAGAATGATTCTGCATCACTTTACAATAAAGGCAAAGTCAAAAACTACTTGACTGGGCCTGTAATTCTCAATTTCCTGAAATAACCTGTGAACATCACAACTGTCTAGTGTTGTAGTCACGACCACATAAACTGAGACCAAGTCATGACCAAAACTAGAGTGTGTCGACACCGACCGAGACAAGACCAAGATTTTAAGGAGTTGAAACCACAACCAAGGCAGGGCAAGACCGAGTCAAGACCAAAACCAGACCAGTGCAGCTCCCACACCTAGATAAAATGTGGAACATTCAAAACAGCACTGCTGAAATTGTTCTGAATGATCTACATTCCTATTAAAACATGCACAGGAAACAAATGAATATTCCTCTCCTCTTCATTTATTTTACCTTTAAAAAAATACAAACACTTTGGACAGAGCTGAAATGAACTTGGCAAGCTTTATTCAACATTCCTATGTTTTACCATCCACCTGACACAATTACAATTGTTTATGCAAGAGAAAGTGCTAAGTTGGCAACACTGCCCGCAAAATCACGCTCCTGGAGTGCGTGTGAAGGAGGCGGGGAGGGGTGGCAATTATTACCAGTAATAACGTTTTCCAATTAGAAATAAGTGAAATTACTGGTTACATCTGAAGCAGGAAGTTTTACAACCAGTAACCGCAATGATGTTCTCAAATAAACCAGACAATGCACAGGCACTTTCCCACAGCGGGGGCCTTGAAATAAATTCTAAGCTGTCTTTGTCCGAGACAGAAACAAGTCCAAATAAAAATGCAGTAAACTCAGAAATGAGGCTGAGACCTTCCAAAAGCGGTCTTGAACCCAGTATCAAAATCAATCCTGATCTTTTTCAGCTTTGGCCTAGGTTGCTCCGCTGGTAAGGAATCGCCTCAACAAGCAAGAAACCAAATTGAGCCTCCCTAAATATTCATAAAGAGGGTACAAGAGCCTCAGTGGGCTACTAGACATGATTGTTTTTCAAATTAAGGACTTCATTCTTCTTGGGCTTTGATAAACAATAAATAAACTGTATTAAATGGACAGGGTTAACATTTCAGTGAGACTGGCCTGGGGTGTATTCATGATATATGGTATAGACTGTCTAAAATAAAATGTTATTTTAAAAGCAGTATTTTGCTGAGGATGTTTAAAGAAGAGAAGCATATGTTAATGTTTAACTGATGCAACTGCAGCACAGCACCATCTATGCCTCAGTTGTCTATGAGCGCCAACAGAGAGAGTCACTACGATGCAGTTTCACCGCGGACGCCAGTTGAATGTTTTTGTGTGAAACTTTTGTGACAACAAGTGCAGTTGACATACTAAAAGCTTGAGTAAATACAGTATGTATATAATATATTTATTTAGACATAGTTAATGAGTGTAAAACATGAGGGTTATTTAACATTTGATGTGTCTGTGATACTCACCAAAAGGTATTTCTCCTGGCCATAAACATAGGTAGTGCTAATGGCATAATAGGATCTGTGCTCCTCTCTAATCTTCTTTTGGCACTGACAGGGAAGAAGAGAAGGCTTACACAAGAGTAAACGCTGCTCCATTTGGTGAAATAACTGTGACGGCAGAGTATGCATTAAAACATACAGTATGTTGATTACAGGTGTGTGTGTTTGTTCACCATGAGGTTCTGACCCAGGAAGGCCTGGAGGAAGCCACTCTTGCCGCTGCCAGAGTCTCCAAAGACATTACAGCGGAAGACGCCGCGCTGGGTCTGCTTCTTCTGCAGGTCAATCTTCTTATCTCTGGTCACTGCAGGGGGGTAACGACTCAGACAATCAGTTTGCACAGGTAGTGATGCACCGAAATTAAAATTCTGGGCCGAAACCGAAACCGAAAATTTAGGATGCACTTGGCCGAAAACCGAAACGAAACCGAAAATGGCTTCTTTTAAAAACTTCAAATTTTTAAAACACGCTTACTCTATAATTGTGTATGTGTGTGTGTGTGTATATGGGTCCAGTAGTGTCGCAAGGCACATAATGCTCATGGTTTGGATCCTATCCAGCTTCTCTCTCAAGAGCATCCTCAGCTTCTCAGCCAGAGAAGACCCAATGGATGGTGGTTTTTCCATTTCTTCAGTGAGGCAATGATCCACCATAGCAAGCAAAGGTATGACCTTTGAGCTAGACACCCTTTTTTCCTGAGAGAGCTCGGTGGTTGCGTTATTAAATGGTCCTAGGACAATCAGACACTCGGAAATCATGCCATATTCCTCTGATGAAATAGGTGAGATGTCTGTTGTGAGACTACATGATACAACACTGTTTGTTTTTCCTGCACAACATCCATCCATCCATTTTCTTCCACTTATCCGGGACCGGGTCACGGGGGCAGCAGTCTAATCAAAGATGCCCAGACTTCCCTCTCTCCAGACACTTCCTCCAGCTCCTCCGGGGGAATCCACCGCTGCGGATCGGGGCGCTTTTCTGTAGAATTTCGTCAAACATCTCGGAAAGTGAGGGAGTGTACGCCTCGGGGCGGGGCGGGGCATTTTCGGCGTGTTTTTTTTTATTTCGGCCCGAAATAAAAATGGCCTTTTCGGCCGAAAATTTTCGGTGGCCGAAATTTCGGTGCACCCCTATGCACAGGCATTCAGTTTAAACTGCCCGTCCAGGTACCAGCTGATGTTAAGACAAACTTGGCTAATCGATTTGATTTCTGAACGGATGATTGTTTAGCCTTTGATGATGAATAATACTCAAGGTACCAATTAAGGGGTGTCGTGATATACTGGTATTGACAATAACCATGATATTTAAAAAATATTGACATGTTAATAATGCACATATGATAATACCAGAAATAATCCAGAGCCAGTAACTATTGTGATTTTTTGGCTACAATAATTGTGTAGTGAAAACTTCATGTTGCGACATCTCCAGTTCCAAAGTATGGAAAAACTACCTTATGATACTCGACTGTGTCAACATTTGCTCCATATTTGATTTGATTTGATTTTATTCTTTCAGGCATGTAAAGACAGTTGATATATCAACACACATAATTTTACACATATCCAACAAATGCTAATCCAATATCAATGTGCTTATACCTAGTACATGCTTGAATGGAGTAGGAAGAAGTCAGACTTATCCAGTCCTACCCCATGACATCATCTTACCATCATTGGTTTGCAAGCAGTATCTCTACATAAATAATTCTCTTCTACACCACACAAGTAATATACTAAAGAATTATTACAAAGTGTTAACATTCATACACCACACCCACAATGTTCCATCTAATTAATATTAGCACTATGATGATTTTATAATCAACTTTTTATATGTTTGTACAGCTGATCCTGTCACTAAATATTTATAATGGAAGAGAAGATGTGATGGTAGAATTCACCTGTGATTCCTGATGCTTGAGATTCCTGCTCAGCAACTATTGAGTAACCAAGGTAACCCAAATACTCCAGGCATCGCTGGACGTCGAGATATGTTGTTAGCCTGAACAAAAAGGAAATCAAAGGCAAACCACAGAATAAGAAAAGAAAAATGTTACAAGCCCCTAACTAGCAAATGTAGCTTAGAATATTTCTTTTCTCCACCCAGAAAAGAAAATACATTAATCTCAATGTTTCCTATAAACAACACTGAATATAGTTAAACATAACCTAATAAATTTTGTTTAAAGCCAGAATGTGTAGTAAAAATGTTCTTCTATTAAACTCTTTTTAAGAAAAAGTTCACAAATAAATCAGTGTGCCAAAAACTCTGCCTGAATAAAACAAACAAAAAAGCGAACTATTTATTTAATCAAGAGAATATCAAAGGTTAAATGAAGTAAAGATTAAGCTTCAAAGCAAACCTTTAGTACTAAACAGTTTCTGCTACTGTGTCAGAGACATTTAAATTGGTGATCAAATGTATGAAAGTACAACTGTGACAAAAGTTTTTGTTTGCTAACAATTTTTAAAAAACTTTTGCAATGTATGTGATTAAGCCCATATACTGTATGTTATGAGGCCATTCCACTGCCACTGGGAACCGTCCTGTACTCAGGCCAACTGACCAGCTATTGGCCCGGGCTGCCTGGCTCCAGTACACATTTGTGTTTCCATTGCACAGCATGTGTGTTGCTTTTGCAGACCAAAACAGACACCAACCTTAGGTGCACAACAGAAGCATGGATTGGCTAAATGCAACTGTTCCATTGGTTTCCTTGTATTTTTTCATGATGCACTGCTGTGCTCTTTTTTTTTTTTTTTTTTTTTTTTTAAAGAGGACAGGTCTCTGTGTTAGGCTGAAACACTTCCTGCTGCTTAAGTTTTCTCTCTGCCAAATGCAGTGATGTAGACGGCTGGGTTGAGCACAGAGTAGACTGCTCTGGTCTGGGACTTGCTTCTGAGCAGGACCAGATATCACGCCTGCCAGCCTGGTTACAGCCCATTTCTGACACAATGGAAACAAGTAAACCTGGGTATGGCATGGATATGGGACCGTTCCCGGTGGCATTAGTGCCCCCATGCAGGACACAGTGTCTCTTCTGATACTATCACCAGGAGTGCTACAATCTGATATTTTACAATTCTACACACTGGCTTCAAGTCAATTAAACTGCCACTCACGTCCACTGGGAGAGATACCCCTGGTAGGTGATCCAGCCCTGGTCATTAGTGCAAACTGTGTTATTGA